TATTTCACTCAAATGGAAATTAATTTCAGAGTAATGAAAACTAATTTCTCACGAACAAAATTTAGTTTCACATTTTCGAAAATATATTTCGAACTAACCCTAATCAATACTCATTGTTCTTTTAATTTAAGAAAAACATCAACAATGTTATATATTTCACCCCAATGAAATAAACCCATTGAGTTGACATAACATAAAATACAATTATGAAACAACAATCATGATTATAGATTATTTAAATAAATTGAACTTCACTTAAGTCTTCTCACTCTTAAGATAGCTGCATTATATCTTTCCACGTGATTTGCGAAACTGAAATTTAATTTATTTAAATAATTTATAATTATTATTGTTGTTTTATGATTGTATTTTATGTTATCTATCTAAACTAAGGCCCGGTTTATTCATCTTCAGATAAACTTGCTGGTAACTATCTGCAAGATAAATTTACCGTTCTATAATTTTATTGGTCGGCGGATAACTGGCCGACCAATGGGATTACAAATTGGGTTTTTATCCGTCAGATTGCATACCTGACAGTTTATCAGAAGGTGAATAAACAAGCCCTACGTGGGTTTATTTCATTCGTTGTTGATGTTTTTTCTAATTAAAATAATAAATGTTTGAGAAATGAGTAGGGTTAGTTTGAAATTTATTTTCGAAAATGTATAATTAAATTTTGTTTATGAGAAATTAGTTTTCCTTACTTTGAAATCAATTTTCATTTGAGCGGAATTAGATTTCACTGATGTGAATTTAGTTTTCATTTATTTGAAATCAAATTTCACCAGTGAGAAATAATGCTGGAAATGGTATAGAATCAGTTGTTTACTTGAATATAATCAATAATGAATAATAGATCTCCAATACTCGCGCTCAGGTCGTAGGCCTAAACAATCTCGGTTCGTTAACAATCGAGTCCTAGACATAAAAGGGGGAAATATTGGCGCAACCACAAAAACTGTTGAGATGTTTTTTATTTATAATATTCTACAATTTTCGAGTTTTCAGGCATTTTGGGTTTATAGGAATTCTGTTCCTTCCTAGTCATCATTATCAATTATTATTACTGAGTGAGGGAATGTCTAACACCTAACCATCCATCTCCAGCTCTTATCATTTTCGTTAGATTTGTCTAGATCCCCAAAAATAATGATAATATTTCCCTAATTACTGATTTTTCACACTTTATAAATATTATGACTGTGACGAAAGAAGTTTTCAACAAAAGTTGCATATTGAGTATACAGGGTGTCCCACAATCAGCGTTACAGGCTATAACTTTCTTATTTTTAGAAATAAAAATTTGAAACAAAAAAAAACGATTATAGGCTATAGTCTATTTGTTTGACCGAGACCATTGAGTATATGTAAATTTATGCAAAACTGAGACCAAGTGTTTACCTATAGGGACAAGCTAAATTTCTCATTTTTCCTAAGAATATATTAAGGTTTTAGCAAATCACTAAGATTAAACTTGACCCACCTCTGTTAGGGTACAAAAAGGGTCTAAGCTACTAGATAACACCATTGCTGTCGAATAGCAGAGGACTAGAGGGTATTTTATCAAATAAAAAAAAAAGATGTCTTTTCAAACATTTATTTCAATAGATTGATCGAGAAGAAACAAAACTAATATTTTTGTATTATATTTTTATTTTTATGTAAAAAGGTAAAATTGACAATAAAAATAGTACCAGTTGTTAATCAATTTTCGTCATCTGAATAATCAGTAGAACTATCTGCTACCCCAACTGATATAATGATGGGCTGTATTTCTTCTTCCAACATATGGTCTAGCTGCCACATATTTTTTTCTTCTTCTTTCACGTGCTTCACACATCTATGCCATTTTTGGAAATGTACATGTTCAGTTGCTTTCTGAAAAATCTTCCCATATTTTATATGTGGTATTTTGAGTGGCTACTAAATATTTAATCTGAGTCCACGCTAACTCAATCGGATTCAAGTCACAGTGATATGGAGGAGTCCGAAGTACAATAATTTGCCGCTTTTCCGCCATATTTATTTACATTTCCTATATTCCTGTTTTTCTGTATTCACCAGGGCCAAGAATTCTTTTTTTACCATATCATTTAGAAGTGATATTCCTCTTTCAGAACGCCACTTTTTGATGTATTCTTTTCGCCATGCAGTCGTTGGTACTTGAACAGCTTTTTGTGAATGATAAGGAGCATTATCAAGCACTATAACGGATCCTGACGGAATCAAATCTTCTGCTCGAAATATTCTTCAAACACATCGGCGTTCATGTCTTCAGAGTCCAGTGTGCTTAGATTGAAACATCAATAAGCCGCCTTTGACAAATCCTTGTTCATTGCCAATATGGGTGATAATTAATCTACTTCCTTTTCCAGATGGAAGTTTTATTCCTGGTAGATAAACATTCTAAAAAAGCTTGCCGAGAACTTTGATGTTTTTATCCTGCCACAATTTTTTTACTGTATGTCCAGCGTCTATCCAGGTTTGATCTAAATGATAGATGTTTCTTTTTTCATTTCGAAATTGTTTAATTTTCCTTCTTTTTCCATTAAAAGTGACTTTTAGATATCTTTAGCCCATACAAAATTCAATTCTTTCAATAATTTCCAAAGCTTGTCTCTACTATTTCCTGGTAAATCTTTATCGTTCTTAACCACTGTATAAAATTTGTCTAATGTAGGGATCTCTTTTTTGAAATAAAATGAATGAACTATTCTTCTGATTGCATGTTTATCCTGTTCTTCAATTACAATTTTGCTTCTTCCCGTTGATGTTTTCAGAGAAGTGAAATTTCCATTTTTTGATTCACTAACAATTCTATATACACTTTTCAGACTAACTCCTGTCATATTTGAACATATTTCAGTAATTCTAACAACGGTGGCTTGAGGATGTTGGTGGTCAAGAGCGGTGTAGGTACCTATTCAAAATAATTCCCTTTTCTGTAAGAGGACAATTACTGATTGATATTCTTACAACAGCAGAAAATTCGGACGAATTTGCACGAGCCATTTTTCAGTAGATTCTCAAATCTACGATCATACACTTTCTATAATTTTTACACATATACTGGATGATTTTATTTATTTTTCCACTTTTTAAATGATATGCAGGTAGGTACTAAAAATGGAAAAATCATAGTTCTATTTGAAAAAAAGGCAAGAGTTGTTTTTAGGGGATGAGTTTGTTAGGATTTTTTTTTTAAATATTTTTGAAAAGAGCTTGATCGTTTTTTTTTTGTTTCAAATTTTTATTTCTAAAAATAAGAAAGATATGGCCTGTAGCGCTGATTGTGTATTGTGTATTGCCTAAAACTCTATAAGTGAAGTTTTCACAAAAAAAGGGCCCGTATTCTGGAAACTCGTAGGTTTTAAAAAAAATAATCTAACTGGTTTTATGCCCGCAACTGAGTCAAAAATTAAGGCTCGCCTAGCTCTGATAAAAAACATGAAATATGCAATTAATATTGGTGCGGTGACACTAGAAAATATAAATTTTGTTTTCTTCATTTCATCACCAACTGCATGGCTCTAGGAGTTAAACATAATTTATAGGCGATATTATTTATCTATAATATAGGCACCTTGATAGGTCAACATGTCTGTGGTATACTGGTGATAGCCCAGTTAGTTAATTATTGTAGTAAAGGATCTTTTACTAGCCCACAAGAGGGCATAAAGTCTTGCTCATTACGCTAGTAACTTCTGTACAAGTCTTATTTTCTTGAAGTTAAATTTCTTCATTCATGATCAAAATTGATTAACATTGTGTTCCATCCATTCTCCGAGTAGGTATTTATAGCAAAACTAATAAAGTTTGTGCAGACCTAAGAGTCTAAAAATAACCAAACTTTCTTTGCTTATTTGTACAAAAGCTCGAACATTTTCCAACGCAGATTATGAAATTTGTTCTTTACAAAATTGTTTCTGGCGCACAGAAATAAAAATAATTATTTAGGATTGAAAAACATTATCCAATTGCTTTACACATGTCAGACATAAAAGCATCTACAAAATAATATTCTTTATAAGTGGCTTTAGTGTCCAACAAGCAAATGTAAAACTTACATATCTCTTAAACAATATACAGGGCTTTCATTTCAAAACTTTCCACCCTCGTTATCTGAGCTCTGAGTAAAGAGATAGATTTGTGAAAATCGCACGTCAGAAAATTTATTGAGAAGGAGTATTATAGAAAAACATTTCTCCTCAATGGGTTGTTAGCGATTTTCACAAATGTGTCTCTTTACTCAGAACTCAGATAACGTGTGGGTGGCAAGTTTTGAAATGAAAGCCCTGTAGGTAGGTACTTATCTATGAACAGCAATTGAAATCAAACAAAATTGTTTGGGTAAAAAATGAACATAATACATAATTTTTTAAATTTCCCTGATTATTGATTTTTTAAACTTTATAAATATTATTGACGAAAGAAGTTTCCAACAAAAGTCGAAGATTAAGTATATTGCCCAAAACTTTATAAATAACATATTTTTTTATATGCAAATAACCAAGATATTGAAAATAAAAACTGAAAAATTTCGATAATCCCGTTGAAAGAGCACAAATTTGCCCTGCAGCATAAATTTTTGTTTTCAATATTCAAAGTGACTAAACAAAAAGCTCACTAGATAATCCATTAAATGAATATGCCTATTCGATTTTGAATTTCTTAAATATATTTGAGATAAAAAAAATGAAGCAGAAAGGAAATGTTCTTTAGCTGAATGCAATATCCTGGATAAACGTTTCCTGGGCGATTTATTCTATTATAGGCTACTCAGAAGTTGTAGGTACCTACTACCAAACTGTCTTCATAAATTTAGACACAAATCAGTTGTTACAAAATTTAATTTCCAACAGAAAAACAAACTTCTGCCAACATGTGTACGCTCGCGGGTTGAGACAAGTGGGCCTACGTTTATTTGGATTTTGGAAAAGTGCCAACATTTGGCCCCCCTCGAGCCACTAGGTTTTTTTTTTTTGTGTCCGAATTAAATCAGGACTCGCCAATAACTTCTCAGAGTTCGGCGCTTACATAAGTTTCTTGAATCCGATCAAGTTAATTGGACCTAAAAATAAATTGAGATTTGGTAGTTGGGTGTCGTAGTTTTTGAGTGCACAATAATTTTTGACGAGTAAGTTTTAAGTTTGGGGTGAAGTTTTGAATTTTGGAGCAGTATTTCACAATTTCACATTTACTGTTATGTCTATTTTAGTTCTGTAAACTGACCCAATTATTAAAATTTTCCTGTGTGTATTTGTTCCGTTGGATGGAAAAATTATTTTGCCCGTTCGAACTCAGAAGCAACTTTTTAAATCCTATGGGGCTTTTTAAAATTAAAGAAACAATGTTTCCTTGATCTTAGATTACAGTAGCGATTTTGAATAATTATTATTGGAAATAATAAAAATGCAAGCTTTGGTTTTATTAATTCAAAGGTTCATCCTTTAGAACTCAGAGGTTTAATGTTTCATTTTCAATTTTCATTCACTACGTTTATTTCACGCGTTGTATCCGGTTACTAAGTGGATTAGGGATTATTAATCCATATTCGTTTATTTCACAACTATTGAATGGATTGAGAATAGTGTTAATCCTTATCGTTTGTGTCCAACTTGATTAAAGGCAACAATGATGAAAAATAGTTAATAATATTTAATAATTAACAATTAAAAAAGGAAAACATTTTGTCTCACATCAAAAAATATTCAAATAAAACCAAATAACATCAATCCTCAAAAAAATTACAAATGACAAATGTGATTTTTTCTTGAAGTTAGCAGCAAACTTCTTAAATCCGAGATTAAGGTGTTTATTTCACATTTGAGATAGTCCATTTAAGTCCAATCCTACAAATTTGGAAGATTGGATTAAGTACTCCGATCCGGATAAACTTTTCAATCCTGGGTGTTTATTTTAGGATTATTAATCCCCATCATTAATCCAATCCACTTAATATCCGGATACAACGCATGAAATAAACGTAGTCATTGTTATTTAAGGAGAAGTATATGAATCCGCTTCAATTTGCGAAACAAGTTGTTTCAGCGCTTGGGAGGTTAGTTGAGTCTTTGAGTACATTTCTAATTTTAGAGTCCGAAAATAATTTTACATCAGCAAACGCTGTTCAACACTTTATTGATTAAAGGTGATTTTAACTTTGAGAAATAGATTTTTCATCGAAAAATAAATAGCCATTGATTAAATTATCCAGATTCTTTTTTATATGTAATGAGTAGGTATAGAAAGAAACTGATCTTTTCGTGTTATCTCGTTTATTTTTTTATCTTTCTTCTTGTCTTTTTTTCTATGATGATCTTCCTATCATGAAAGTTAGGATTTTATTTATTTTAGGTAGGTAGTGGGTAGCTACTGTAGAGGTACAAACTTGCATACCTACCGAAAAAGTCTCACTGAACTGACATAGCTAACTAGCAGTCGCAACATTAAAAACTATTCATTAATTTTTTATGTCACTCTAAAAAAATTCTTTTCTTCCAAGTAATAATGGGCCTGGCTACCCGCTGTCAGTCAATGCGAGACCGACAGCCTTGCAAATGGGTAGGTACCTAGGAAAGTCTCATATTTCGGAAATGTGGGAAGATACCAAAACACTTCTTCAAAAAACTGTTGGATAAAGAAATTATAAATAAAAAAGGAAAATATCTACAATTTTTGTCATAAAACCAAGTTCTACAAGCTATTTCTTCACAATACGTACGGATTCTATTCCTTCAAATGGATGTGCATTGACTGACAATGGATAGCCACCGGGGCATTTCATTATCACCTAAGTACTGAAAGGTGATGTCTAAAGAAAATCTGAGTTTTGCTGAAACACTGAAAATAAAAGTGCCGAAAAAAAGCGACATACGTACCTATTTCGTCGACCAAAAAGTGAATTTACAGATGAATATTTCTGTTAACCTCTATACAAATTTGTTATTTGAATTCAATAAAGTAGGTAACTGAAATGCAAACTATTTGCATTAGGTGGGGACTGGGTTTCAAAAACTTGAAAATTATCATATTGATTTATGGTGAGTGTAAGATTGAACGCATATGACAGAGTCCCTTTCCCAATTTTATGCCGCTCATTGATCAGTCAATTCTAGGATTAAAATTGCCTAAGCTCCGGGCTTTGACTAGATACACACCTCTCCTGATTAGTCCCGATGCCTCGATTTCTGGGGATGCATGGAGGTCAAAATATTGGTTTAGTGACAAAAATCGTATTGATTTTCTCTACAATTTTTGGGGTGAAAAGGAATTTCTGAAGAAAATATAAACCCCGGTAAAACAGCCACTTCTCAGTATCTCAGTCTATCAGAAGTTGCGGAATAAAAATATAAACATGGATTGGCTAGGGCTATATAGGGATGGTATTCTGAGTTCAGCTGATGAAAAAATAATTGTGAACACTTTGCCATACCTACCTACATAGGCCAGCAGGAATAGTTTTAAAAAAATATATGGTTATTCTCTGACTCAATCCTTAAAACCATGTTTGCGAATCTTTCGAATCAATGAATGTTGTTATTTGTTTTTTTTTCTAATAATATGTAAGCTATACTGATTGGTATTTAACAAAAATGTAAAAAAAAATTATAAAAAAAAAACGCCAGACTATAAAAGAACTTTTCACACACTATATCCTCGACCAAATTAGTATAGATTTATTTTCCGAAAATTGTTATTCATAAACCGGTTCAAGTTTACGGTTTAAAGACCTGTATTTCCCGTAGGTCAATCATGATTTCATTTTATATGAGATGGTTCGGTTGGGTACCAGTAAACTTGGCAATAACGCGTTGAGACGATGTGATGTTGAATGTATGAACGCAAGCTTGATACATTGTTCGAAATAAACCCACTTGAATAGATTTTTATTTCTTTTTTAGAATACATTATCAGATATTAGCAAAAAAATCTAACGGCGTTTGGTAATACAAGGCTATTCGCATTCTCTGATGACGCGTTTATATTTTTATTTCGGGAAGAATTAGCTGACTACGTTATGTACATAGAAATAGTGCTTGAATTTCAATAATTTCCTCTCATTATTCACTGGCTAAGTTTTGCAAATTTTGAAGTGGGTTGTCCCTCTTCATTATTTATTTTATTTAATCCAAAAAGATCATTATTTATAATTATCCCGGCCTACTCGTTATTGTTTCTGAGATATTAAATGAGTCATTGACAAGAAATTTCAACTAAGGATATAATATATTTCGTGAACCAACAATTCGACTTCCAATAAACTATACTTTACCTATATCAATGGTATAGGTACCCTTTGTACCACTTCACATTGGATATATTTCTATAACTGTTTATATTACCACCCATATCAGTTCCGTAGTCGATCGGCAAAGGAGCTTCTTTTGCGATCCTTGCTACTTGGACACTTGAAAATTGTTTTTCTGACGGCTCTAGAATCTGAACGGATTGAAATTGTGCAAAACGGCTTGCACATTCCTGTCCTATTTTTCATAGGCTATCGGCTAACACTGACACAAAACAAGTTTTTCCAGAAATTATTAAAAAAAAAACAAAACTGATTATGAACGCTAAAATTGATTTTAGGATAAAGGAAACATAGTAGGCCTGGCTGATATTTTGTTGTTTGTAGGGCGAGTTTGCTGACTTATTCCCATAGGAATGCTATTTTCGTTTTGTTTAAAAAACAACATTGAAATAATGACGTTCGAACGTATGTAATTTTGAAGTTTTGGTGCGACTCAATTTCAGGTAGAAGTAATTTAATAAATTGTCTGTATCAACAGCAATGATGATTGAATATGTAGATAGAGTCCGATTCTAACAGGAGGTGTACGATTAAGAAACATTTTCGGATAGATCAATAATTCAATCAGTAGTGTAGAAAATAAGCCAAGGAGTGGAATGTGTTACTAGTTGTAGAAGATAATCCACATTGTAGCCCTTGTCAGATGAGCGATTATTAAGATATCCCTACCTCGTCTGTACATAAAGTTTTAAAATTAGAGAATTGCAGAAAAATGCAATTGGTATTTAGGTACAGGAGTTAAATGAAGACGAGAAAATAGATAAAAAATAAAAACTCTCTAAATAAAAAAACACCGGACTTATCCGTTCTACGTCACAACTTGCATTTTGACAGTGTTGCCACTAATTCTCAGCATTGAAAATTTGTAATATACTTCTGAATTTCTGAAACGTTGGCAAAATCCGAAGAAAAATAGTTTCATTGATTAGGTACTTAGGGATTCAAGAGTTCATAATATTTTATTTTTTTTTGAATTATTATCATACACAATTTAAATTTATTTTTTGTAATCAGTTTTAACTTTTTCTCTCACGACGCGCTGCATTTAGTTATAACTGGTAACAGCGCAATCAAAGCTTTGAACCAGGTTCCACGGAAACAGATGTTCGTGCTTTGTCGATAGAATCTTCTTAAATTTGATTGGTGCTTATATTCCTTATACGTCATAGAATGGCGCGTTTCAAGGATTTTAAATTTTTCTATTGAATGGCCACCGCGGTCTCCCGATTTAAATCCGTTGGACTATTTTTTGTGGATCATTTAAAAAATATACATCAACCCTGAATCCATTGAGGACTCAAAAGCTTGAATTAGAGGAGAATGTGCTTATATCACCCAGGAAAGAATGAATAGGGCCCAGCAGGAATTTGTCAATCGTTTGAGATATTTGTCACTCACAAGAAGGGTTTCAGTTTCAACTTCAACAAATGGCCCTTTGCACCGACCATTTTTAAAAAGGTTTGACAATAATCAACGCTTAAAGGGATATTTTTACATGTAAAAATGTCGTTTTAATAGGTAAGCGTTGATTATCTTTAAATCTCCCTTAAAATGGTCGATGCAAACGGCCGTAAGTAAGTGAAGTAGTTTTCTTGTTTGAATGCCATGTTTACTAAAAATCAATTTTATCGTTAATGTTCATAAAAAGTCGTTTTTTGAGAATTTCTGTGAAAATTTGGCATGTATTGTTTTAGTAGTTTAGATTCTAATACAGTCTTCGGTAGGTACTTTTCTTAATCCTACTTTTAAGAAAACTATTAAAATAAATTATTTCCCCTTACCCATGTAGGTATTTATTACATTCATTAAATATGGAGTCGTTCAAACTTGAAAAATAACAATTTTCAAGTGTCAAGTGTTTAGGTGGAAAGTTTAAATTGGAATATGTCTTAAAATACCCCGTAGAATCCATAAATGTCATCATATACAGGAAGTGCCATTAAAAAAATTGATACCGGTACAGGCTAACGCCTGTGTTTGAATATTTTTGATATAGAAAGTATTTTAACAAAATTGTAAATTTTACATTATTATTTCTCAGGACATGTTGTCCCCTGGAGAAATCGAAGATCCCCAAATCACCAGTGAGCAACTGCTCTCTTTAAAAGCCGACATCCGTATCATCAACATGTTGGAGGAGCTTGCTCACAAGCACTGCCCATCGCAGTTTCAAGACATCGAAAGTGGTGGAAAAATTTCTAAATCAAACGACAAGGCTTCAGCTCTCATTGATGAAGGACGCAAAATGTTCAGGCAGAAGAACTACATGAAGGCTTTATTGGCATTTACTCAAAGTATTGCAAATGCTTTAGATAAAACAGAAATTTTGGGATTGGCTTATGGAGGCCGTGCCGAAGTTTTGTTCCAGAGAGGATTTTTCAAGGAATGTTTACAAGTAAGCATACTTCAACAAATTACAATTACAATTTTTCATTACAAATCTTTTTAGGATATTGAAAGAGCTCTAGAAAACAACTACCCCAAAGATCTGGTAGGTAAACTTCTTGAAAAAAAAACACAAGCAGAACTCAACAAAGCCACTCAAAAAATCAAAAAATTTCATGAAGATGTGCCAGCCTTAATTCATCCAAATCCAAAAATATCATGTGCTGCTGACAATGTTGAGATTCTCAAAGACGACTATGGTGGACGCCATGTTGTTGCAACTAAAAATATCGAAGCAGGAGAAATAATTTCCATTGAAAAACCTTATGCTGTTGCCATAGGCACCAAGCCTTCTCAACGCTTCTTACATTGCCATGAATGCTTGGAGACGTGTTTTAACTTGATACCTTGTCCTGGATGTAGAACTGCACTGTATTGCAGTGAAAAATGTAGAGATACTGCCAGAGAGTTTTATCACTACAGTGAATGCGATCTATGTCAGTTTGACTTCAATGAATTGCTAAACGTGAAAACAGTATTAAAGGGTCTTAAAGAGTTAAGTACTGTAAGTGCTGACGTACAACAATTCGATGGAACTATGTACAAATCTGACAGGTAAGGAATATAGATATTTTACTGTTGCTATAATAAGTAATGCAATATTTTTAGATATGAAGAAATCCAAGTGCTTCAAACTAACAAAGAAAAACGTTCAGTGCGCGATCTATTTGAGGCTGCCAATGAGGCCTGCATCGTTCTCCATTTTTTAACAAAATATTCTGACTTTTTTACAAAAGTCCAAATTTCTAGCGACCGCCTAAAAGAATTGCTGTTTCATCACTATTTCAATACTACTTTGAATAAGATTTCAGTAGAGAAGATAAAAAAGGCTTCGGTTGATACAGAGTTTCATGAAGTTGGCGAAGCAATTTATGCTTTTTCTAGTTTACTGAATCATCATTGTTACGGAAATGTGGCAGCATCATTCTATGGATCTACGTTGGTTCTGAGAGCAGCTAAAAATATCAAAACTGGCGAGTCATGTTGTTTGACTTACAGGTAAAATATTTGACAACAATCACTGTTTTTAGTATTTGAGTCCCTAGTCAATTGCCAACTTTACCAAAAGATGGAATTTACTTATCTGTAATTTTTGATTGACATCAGTTCATACAATCTCTTTGTAAAACACAATTTGAAACTTGACTTGGTTCACATTGAGGAGCTGTTTTCCTGTTTCCGTTTGTTTTCACATTTGCATTTAAATCAGTGAGGGTCCATGTTTCTTGAACTGGGCAGATGTTGAAATGCAGAACTGTTGCTGTATTAATTTGTATCCCGACATTTGACTTCACGAGAAATTGTTGCAGATCATCAGCACATATATTCGGAAACCAAATGGAAAAGCCAAATGCGAGCTTTCAGATTCTTGTACCTACTGTTTTGACTGAAGGGGTTCTAAATAATTCTCTTAGGGTGGACTGGTTATAGAGCTGGGTAAAGAGCTTAAAAGCAGGGTGCCTATTTGCTAAATTGTTTAGCTTAGCAGTTTGGGCTTAGCACCGCCTCAACTTAAACATTATGATATGGTTCGGGACTCTCTGCCGCTGTGTTTGTAAAAATGATCGGCCTTGGATTTGTGGAATTTGCGTGTTATTAGTTAGATAATATTAATTTTTTTGATCCTTATTGTGTGTGAGAGGTAATTTTGGTATTCAGGGATTTTTAGGCTTCAACTTTCACTGTAACAGAGAGCCGGTGATTTGCTGGAAATCGTCAATCAATGCGGAAAGAATTAGAAGAGGCATGAGGGATAGGTTTCTGGCTCCCGTATTTTTTAAAGGATAGAATCTTTGGATTTTCCTTGAGAAAAATCCTAATAATTTAAACGTATTGGTCCTTGTCCAGGCCTCTAATGATCTCCGTTATAAAGGCGGTCCTCAATTTGCAAGAAGATGTGTTGAAATTCGAGCTTTTGGGATGAGTGTTTCCCCCAAATGGCTGTGAGAGGATAGGTGATTGGTGTTAGTGGAATTTTGATAGTTTTTAACTTGCCCATGTTTTTCCTACTGCTGTTTCACCGCTGCTCACTTGCGACAAGTGAGAGCTGCGAGAAGTACCTACATCCTATTTAATCACGATTTACTCGGATGCTCACACTAAATCGCTTCTTTATGGTAGAACTCTTCTGTACATGGGTCCTAAGCTTAGATCACTGATGAAAATGTCTGAGAATGGAGGTAACAATGCAACTTTTTTTCCTAGGTTCTGGCATGCTGGTGCAAGTAGTTGAATAACCTATTCATGTCTATATAATTCAGGTCCTGTTGGCTGTATATATGCCCTAACGGGTATTTACGATATAGGTAGGGGGATAAATTCGTTTTCTTGAATCTTCCTCAAATATTACTGGGTAAATTTATACAACTTTGTTCAACTTCTTGCGATTGTAGTGAGAACTGCGAGAAGTGCATCCTATTTAATCACGATTTATCCGGATGCTCACACTAAATCGCTTCTTTGTGGCAGAACTCTTCTGTACATGAGTCCTAAGTTAAGATCACTGATGAAAACGTCTGAGAATGGAGGTAACAATGCAACTTTTTTCCTAGGTTCTGGCATGCTGGTGCAAGTAGTTGAATAACCTATTCATGCCTATATAATTCAGGTCCTGTTGGCTGTATATATGCCCTAACGGGTATTCACGACATAGGTAGGGGGATAAATTCGTTTTCTTGAATCTACCTCACATATTACTGGGTAAATTTAAACAAATTTGTTCAACTTCTGTGTGGACTGTAGTTTTGTTTAGAATATTCAGGAATGTGTAATCTAGGCGCACTAATATCTAGATTATAGAGACGTAAAAAGTCGTGTGAAGTCTGCGCCAAAAATTCTAGCTTCAAAACTTTTCTGATCCAAGCTCCGCGCAACGTTACAATTACCAATCACAATGCACACAATAGCCCGCAGTTGCCATTCCTATGTCGACTGGGCTATTGTGGTTAGGTAGTATGACCAAATAAATTCCATTTCATTCAATTTTTTAACAGTGTTCCGACTAGTGGATTTTCCCTAAATTTAGTTTACGTGAACACTACCCACCACAGCACTCCACGTGAATTCGGCAACGATGGTGAATTAATATTATCCAAACTGAATTTTCCCTAAATTTAGTATGCATGAATGAAACCCCTTACAAAGTGAATTTCCCTTAAATTTGGTATGCATGAACTCTACCCACGGCACACTACGTGAAAGCGGCATCGGTGGGCAATTGAAATTATCCACATGATGAGAAGATATAAAAAGTTACCAATTTACATTATAACTTTAACAGTGTTCCGACAAGTGGATTTTCCTAAAATTTGGTATACATGAACTCTACTCACTGTTTAAAAAATTATAATCTCGATTATAATATAAATTGTTAATTTTTTATATGTTATCCATTTTTCCTGGATAATTTCAATTGACCAACGATGCCGCTTCCACGTAGGGTGCTGCAAGGGGTAGTGTACATGGATATCAAAATTCAGGGAAGCTCTACTTGTCCGAATACTGTCTAAAGAATTTCAACATAAATTGTTAGTTTTTTATATCTTATCCATTTTTCCCGGATAATTTCATTTCACCATCGATGCCGCTTTCACGTGGGGTACGGTACTGTAAGGGATAGAGACGTGACATGACGTATAGGTACCAAATTTAGGGAAAATCCACTTGTCGGAAAAAATTAAAATTTAATTTATTCACTTATATGATCCTATGTCGACTGGGCTTTCGTGTGCATTGTGGTTGGTAAGTGTAACGTTGCGCGGAACTTAATTCAGGAAATTTTTGGAGCTAGAATTTTTGACGCAGACTTCACACTACTAGGACTAGATTGGGCGACTGCCTGCCACATAGTTTTGTGTGGTTTTGTCTTGTCTGTTAGGGATTAAGACTAACCAGTGGAGACGAGTATGATTGGTTTTAAAAATTAAGTACCTAAACACACTAGCCAATATAAAATAAAATATTAATTCTAAACGGTTGCAACTTTTGACAACAAATTAAAGACGTTGGAAGGCAAATTCTTACTTAAGTGTTTTCACCTGGATGAAAAAGATTACTAATGGTTTCCATTAATCTAAATCTCTGTTGTTCGTGAATAATGTTGGCACAACTGTCTCCACGGTTTTGGATCCCTATATGATGTTTTTCTTGTTGATTTTAAAGTTGGGATTTGTTGTAATATTATGAACATACCTATATAAGTACCGTCTTTTGGTGCCAATTTTTGTTTTTTTAATACTATCATTGTACCTTTTTCAATGGAAAATCTTGCATTTTTTCGCAATACTGTGCCTCTAGCGAACACATGTACATTACCTTGCTATTGAAATTGAGTTTTTGGAAGCAAATTTTACCTCCTCTCGATAGTGTTGCTTATTCATTATACGGGTGTTCCGAAACTATTGTGCCAAAAATTAAGGGATGATAGATCGCGCCAAAATAAACTTTTTTTACTTATAAACACAAAGGCGCATGCGCTTTGGTTATGTGATAATAGAACATTACAGGTCGCGCTGTGGTACCCACCTTACACACGGAGAAACGTGTTTGAAGCAGAAACTATGTTATTAAATGATGCAAAACCCAAGGAATGCTTGCAGAATTTACTAAAAACAATGATTCACAGCAAAAGATGCTAAAAGCTACGATTACCCACCTTCATACATGCGTGACAGCGCCGTAGGATAGTCTCCTAAACACATTGAACAATTCATGGTGTTTCAAGAATTTCAGCAGCTGGAGTGTCGTAAACAAGAGCTTTCATATGACCCCATAAAAAAAAGTCGCATTCCGCCAGGTCTGGTGAACGTGGAGTCCATGCCCCCTTAACAATCACTCTTTCCAGATGTTTCGTTGAGATGTTTTCTTAAGGCTTAGAAGTAATGTGGTGGTAGTCTGTCGTGTTGGTACCCTATGTTTTGTCTGGCATACAGGGATACAGTTTCGGGAAGGGTTTCCTGCAGAAATCTACTCGATATTTCTGCTACAACGCTGTTACACATGCATTTTGGTGGGTGGTCGTAGTTTTGAGCATCTTTTGATGTGAATCATTATTTTAAATAAATACTGCAAGCATTCTTTGGGTTCTGTATTATTTAATAACACAGGTTCTGCTTATTCAAACAAGTTTCTCCGTGTGCAAGGTGGCTACCACAGTCCGGACTGTAATGTGCTATTATCACCTAACCAAAGCGCATGCGCCTATGGGTTTATAAGTAAAAAACGTTTATTTTGGCGAGATCTATCATTCCTCATTTTTTGGCACAATAGTTTCGAAAACCCTGTATAGTATATTAAGTGATACCTGGATACCTATACCTCAAACAGACTGTAAAATATAGGTACTTACTTGTCTCATTTAAGTTTTAGGGTAATGCAAAGTTGTGCCTCACTTCCGACAACTACTAGATTTAAAATTAAACAGAATCACCTTTGGACTTTTAGAGTGTTGCTTTAAGGATATCTACTTCTGTCAGTATTAAAATCAGCGACAGTTGCATCGTTCGATAAATATTATCAAATCACTGTTAGTCATTTCTATGTCAAAAAGCAGTGTTTCTTCCATCATCCTCCATCCCATGTTATTCGCTTTGAATAATAGTTCAGCTCTTCCTTTCAAGGCATCAAACTGACTGCCTACCTTGTGTTGGTAAACATCATCACGCGTTTCTCATTGCAGAGTGTTACATTCCAATTGAAAAACAGCGAATCTGATTACATACCTAACAAACACGTATTGAAATTGTTCTAAGAACCCGTTCACACTGAGCACTGAGAACGAATTCCTTTAATCTCATAGCAGTAGTAGGTCGATCTCTCTGAGAACGAGGTCCATGATAACTGCCTTGGTCTGACAAGCTTGAAGTGACGCGGCGTACTCACTTGAGCACTAATGCGAATAGTTAGGTCTAAACTGGGCGAGCAAGGTTGCGAAGTTTAACTGCAAACTAATTTGAGATCTGAGAATCACACGACCGCTAGAGTAAAGCCGACAAAATCTCGCGAAGCTCCTCGCACAGTCTCATCTAGGCTGTGGCAAGCAGAAGGCCGCAGGTACTGAGCAAAAATTTCTTTGATGGACCTCTCCGAGGCTGGCGTCTCGGCATAAAATCTACACTAACTGCCTAGTGCAGCTTTGGCTTCATTCGCATTCGTGCTCAAGTGACTGAGCAGTTTAGGATTTTCGAATTTTAAACGACTTGTATCTAAGTTTGATACATACTTCGATAAGGGTTAAGTCTTCCTGTTTTAAACGCTTTAGGAATCGATGACTCTCTTTTCTGATTTCAACTGCAGTATTTCATGTTAAAATATGTATTGTGTTTTCTCTTTTAAAACTTTTTAGAAATCTCCATAGCAAAAGTGTCTGAAAAGTAATTTATTTTTAGGAACTACAATTTTGCCGAATTCCCAAAGCTTGTTCGCTCTCACCAACTTTTCAAATACTACCAGTTTACCTGCACTTGCCAGGCCTGTGAAAATAACTGGCCGATTTTTGACTGCCTTGACTCTGGCGACGTTGAGGCTTACCAACAGCTGGCCGAAGAAGTCAAAAAGGCTTTGAGCGAGGCTAACGTGGATATAAATGGGATTTTGAAAGTGGTCACCAAGAAAGTGAAAGAGTTCTCGGCAGCAGAACCAACGAAAGTCGATGTTAATGTTAAGAGAATTTTCTGCGATTTGCTTAAGTTTTCTGGCAATAAAATATTTGAGTTTTAGATATACATACCTATGTTTTATTTGTTTTATTTGTACTCTTCAGTCTTCAGTAAAATAGAATTGCGCTCATGACTGGAATGTTTATAGGTAGGGACATATTGAGATTTATTGGTAATACTAGTACCTAGCGTTGCTTTTCTATATCAATAACATATTATGTAGAATAAATAAAATATTGAAATTATTGATAAGTAGACAATAAGTTGAAAATGCAAGTGGATTATATTTTTAAACGGAACTGGGTATCATACCTAAAATAAAAAATAAAAATTTCCAAAACTCTGTATCTCGGAAACAGAAGCGATTTGGACATAATATGATCTTTTTCTAAATATCCAATTGCCCCTAGAAGTGGGTCCCTAAATTATGAAACATACAAAACGGTGAAGACTATCGTGGACAATTCGACCTGTTATCGGAAATATATTTCGGTCCAAGAAATGCTAATGGGAGGAAGTCAGATTTCCTAGTTCTCCACTGGTATCTGAGGGGAAGTTGGGGCGCCAATTATTTTCTCCAAAATGTTCTTCTACATCCACGTCCCGAGTCTGAGCTCAATCGAAAATGCCGAACGACGTTTCCCCAAGTCCTAAAAGATGGATTTTCCTTCTACCGCCACCATTCTCGAGATATGAGTTTTTTTTTTTCAATTATATTCATTCAAGAGATATCCCTCCACAGGAGTCTTCGCTTAACATTTTTTTTAGGTTTGCTTTTGCCAGCACCAAGTATAACATGATAGGACATTGGTAAATGAGCTAGAGCATAATGTACAGCCTCCTAAGACAGATCAGGCTTCCTTATGGCAAAAAAGGCCTCCTTTTGTTGGCCACCTCACAAATTTGGTCTTTCCACTTCCGACGATCATCCACAAGAACCAAAAACTTCGCGCAATCGGTAAGAGTAACTTCATTGAAGGACGAAGCTGCAGTGTCGAATATATCATTGGATTAGGTAAGTATGACTTTGTTCTTGGCTTACCAAGTTGCCATTTCTTAACTATCTGGAAACTTTGCCTTGGATCTATTAAGAAAGTAGGTATTCGACAGAAAAGGGAAAATTCACGCGACCATTGACCGAGATATAAAACCTTCTGTTGGAGAGGATGAAATAGGCATGCACCAGTTAAGCAGTAGGTACCTTCTCACCCTCCTATCCTAATAACATACATTTTCGCTGGTATTAAAGTCAGAATCAATATTGTCGAAAGCTTGACAGCGTGACGAATCTAATCGGAATATTTCCGATACATGAAAAGGTACAAGGGTATTAGGTATACAATCCACTGAATTCAAGTACCTCAAACTCTGAGGTTGTATCGATCCTAGACACAGCTAGAATATGCAATACGTGTGGTTATGCTTAATAAGTCAATGAAGAGAGAAAATCGAGTTTCCATACACCAGATACTTTTATCTCGCTACATACCGGTTCCGAACCTATTGAGCTCACGTCATAATAACACAAGTAGCTTACCAGGTTAGAAAACACTTGAAGGAAGATACTGTGAATTTGCCTTACCTATGGAAAATCTGCCGATTATGGTCGAAAAGCTCTTGAAAGATCAACTACTGTATATAGGTTCGCAAAATCAATGTATTATGCGCTCTTGGTCTGAAAAAACTGGGACAGGAAAATGTACTTAGAATTATTTACCGGTCTATTAGCTTGTTTTGCAGTTATATGATTCTTTATATGATCATTACATAAATTATAACGGGTGCTAAGAAATGCGTCCAAAAAAGCATAGCCATCTTTGATTTAGGTACGTTTTTTTTTGTTTCTTGAAGACCCCTTATTATAATTCTAGGAACTACTCTACAACTACAACATCACCTTGTTGACACAGATTTTTTCGGCATGATTGTAAATACTTTTAGTTAAAGACTGTACAAGTTATTAAATAACCACAAGAATGTAAAAATATGATTTAATTATTCTTTTCAACTATAATTGAAAATGTTTAATCTAGAGGTTATAGACTGCAAACGCAAACAAAATTTTCCTAAGATAGATATTGATAAGTAGATAAAACGATAATTAGGTGACAATTTTTTATTTTTTTTTCAGAAAATCTCCTTCATCATATCTAGGTACTATAAAGACTGATATAAACAAATAATAATAATAATAATAATAATAATAATAATAATAATAATAATAATAATAATAATAATAATAATAATAATAATAATAATAATAATAATAATAATAATAATAATAATAATAATAATAATAATAATAATAATAATAATAATAATAATAATAATAATAATAATAATAATAATAATAATAATAATAATAATAATAATAATAATAATAATAATAATAATAATAATAATAATAATAATTAGTTGGAGAACTAAAACAAATAAAGAAAACTAAACAAGGTTTACTTGTAGAGACCGTTTCAGCAGCTCAATCTGGTAAGCTCCTAACTGTTAACAAGCTGATAGATTTACCCGTGTCTGTCTTGCGTCATGAATCCTTAAATGTTTCTAAAGGTGTTGTTTATAGTCGTGACTTACTTTGCTGTTCTGAACAAGAAATTCTGGATGAACTGAAATCGACTGGAGTTATTGATGTGAAAAGAATTAAAACAAAAATTAATGGAGAACTACAGGACACTGCCTCGCATATTTTGACTTTTAATAATTCCAATCTCCCGAAGTATATAAAAGCAGGGTACTTAAATATACCAGTTAGGCAGTATGTACCACCTCCATTAAGATGTTACAAATGTCAAAAATTCGGTCATACTTCAGTGAAGTGTGATCAACCACAGATATGTGTGTGCGGAAAACCACCCCATGATGGTAATGCCTGTGGTAGCGAAGTTCTCTGTGTGAACTGTGGCGGCAAACACTCCGCACGATCACGAAACTGCCCAACTTATAAAACAGAAATAGCAATACAGGAATTAAAACTTAAAGAAAATATTAATTATTTTGAAGCAAGAAAAAAAGTCGTAATAAATACTCCAAAGAACATCAGTTATGCTCATGCAACAGCCGCCTTACCTGAAACAAAAGAAAACTTTAATATTAAAAACTTAATAAATGAATTAATACCTACATTAATAAAAGAACTCAAATTAGTATTTGTCTCTAAAACTGAAATGATTCCGTCAGAACGTTGTCGAAGAGAATCGGCTTCTTCGATTGCCTCTGAGGTACCGTATGAAAAAAGAAAAAGACCACCTACAAATACTGGAGAATCGAGCGAAGGAGAAAGTTCTGCCTTTGAACCGGAATTCTCCGACAACAAAATTAAGAAACCTAAGGGGTGGCCAAAGGGGAGACCCAGGAAACCACCTAACAATAATGACTAGTCAAAGTAAATTACTGAATCTGTGATAAATTAATAATTATACATTATCTGTTCTTGTACCTGTCTCATATTTACATGTTTTGTTTGTACCTCATCAATACCACAAATGTCCAACAAAATCATTCAATGGAATTGTCGAGGATGTATACACAATTATTGTCACATCAAACTGATTTTACAAGAGCACGATCCGATATGTATGGCTATACAAGAAACTCACCTAAAACCAAATCAAGCATATTCATTGAAAAATTACTCCATGATAAGACGAGAGGCGGAAGGTGGTGAGAGGGCGCATGGAGGTGTCGCACTGTTCTTGAGACACGATGTCATCTTCACCGATATTCAAATACGTAGTGATCTACAGGTTGTAGCAGTCAAGGTGATCAGTCCTTTAAAGATAACCATATGTAATGTCTACCTCCCTAATATAGCGTGGACAATTGAACAAATTGATCAAGTAATAGAACAACTATCCCCCCCTATGTTGTGGTGGGAGACTTCAACGCCCACAATACACTTTGGGGCTCTTTGATAACAGACACAAAGGGGCGTGTTCTGGAGAGATGGTTAGAGAGAGATGATCTTGTTCTAGTGAATACGGGATCTGCAACGCATTTTAATGAAAAATCCAATAACTTTTCAGCAATCGACCTAACTTTGGCAACTTCTGATCTGCTGACGAAACTTAACTGGATTGTGGATGATGATTTGCACAACAGCGACCACTTTCCAATACACATTGAACTGGATACACCAAAAACTATAAATACTCTACCTATTAAATGGAACACACATAAAGCTGACTGGAATAAGTTTAGAAACTCTGTTAAACTGCCAACAGATCTTGGCGTGAAAAATATAACAGACTGCATACTGGTCGCAGCAAATTTAAGTATACCGAAATCTGGAGGTAAACCTTTCAAAAAATCTGTACCTTGGTGGAATGAAGAAACAAAAAATATAACGAAACTCAAAAAACAGGCTTTTAACGAGTTTAGAAGAAGTCCTACTACTGAAAACCTAGTAAAATTTAAAAGAATTAGAGCAACCGCAAGAAGAACCATACTTAAAAACAAAAGAGATACCTGGAATCAGTACACCAAAACAATCACGTCAGATACGGAAATAAAAACTGTGTGGAAGAAGGTGAAAGCAGTATCGGGTATTTACACAAATAACCCAATTACCTCTATACAAACAGAAACCGGATCCATAACCACCGACCCTGTAGAAATAGCAAACATAATAGCAACACACTTTGAAAGAGTCAGTAGCAGCAACAATTATGATCCAAGCTTTTTACACATAAAAAACAATGTAGAAATAAATATAGATTTTACCACAGAAAATGACCTAGAACATAATTTGCCTTTCAGTAGGAAAGAGCTTGATGAGGTACTCCAGCAGTCTAAAGCAGGTGCTCCCGGTCCAGACACAATTTCCAACGATATGCTGAAAAATCTAACACCTGAAATGAAAGAAATATTGTTAAAATTTTACAACAAACTATGGGATGAAAATACTTACCCGGAATCCTGGAAAGAGGCTCTGGTAGTACCTATAACTAAACCTAATAAAGATAGACTGACACCATCCAGCTTAAGACCTATTAGTCTTACCTGCTGTATGGGCAAACTCTTTGAAAAGATGATAAACAACAGATTGCAGAATTATCTAGAAGTCAATAACTTATTAGTTCCCTACCAAGCAGGGTATAGAAAGAAGCGATCAACAGTAGATCATTTAGTATT